ATAAGATAAGCACCAGTGCTTTCTAGATTGGTCCAATCAAGAAACCTAAGAATACAAAGCAATGGAGCCATAACATGAATCTGTAGGAACGCATACTCACTGCCAGATTGATTGTAAATTGGTACAATTATATTAAAAGCAATTTAGTGTTAGTCTGCAAAGTCGAGCATTCAGATAGCATGATCCAGCAATTCTACCCTGTGATGTGTCTTAGAGAGACCACTACGCATTTTATGAGATGACACATGATAAGAATACAGCTTTGTTGTGGATAGTAGAGGGCAGATGGAAACAAGAGAGCAAAGGGATTGAAAGTCCCTCAAGTGGGAGAGAAGATGTATAGATTGTGGTCAACCCATGTATGTTTTTTGTTTTGTTTTTTTTTGGGGGGGGGTTTCTCCGGTACCGGGAACCGAACTCACGACCTTGCACTTGCCAGGCAGGTGCTTTTGCCGCTGAGCTAAGTCCCCAGCCCCGGTCAACCCATGTAAAGTTGTGTCTGAGAGCAATCAAAGTGAATGAACTGTATTTCATCCGGGTGACACACACAAAACAATATTTTGTGAAAACTCCAGTCCCAGAGGACTACAGCAGTGAAGAGAAGAGGGTGTGGTAGTTAAGAACATGGACTCTGGAGCTAAAATGCCTGGAGGTTGAGTTCTGGCTTTCTCACTTACTAGGTGTGTGATCTCACAGAGGTCATCTGTCTTCTCTACACTTGCATTCTCTCATCTGTCACATATGAGTATTAAATGATTTAACACAGGTAAAGTGTCTGAAACAGAGAGGCGCTATGGTATACAGGTGTTCACTATTACTCTAAGTCCTATTGCTACTGAGATGATTTTCTGTTTACTTTCTACTGTTCATTTTTATTTTCAGTCATGTTGTATTGCTTCCCCACCTCAATATTTTTAATATACGATCATTATTGGTAATTACAAAATAGGGGGAAATATTAAGAAGGATTTAAAAACCACAGTATAATTACCTAATCAAGGCAATTCTTTCTATGGCTTCTGTTCTTTACAAGATACCAGGGTTTGCTAATGTCTAGAAGGACAAATACACTTCTTTTTTGTCATGCAAGTCTATGTATGAATGGTGTAAGTGAACCTGGGTTATTATATATACCTATTATACAGAAATTTTCTAATAAACCTCTGCATAAAACATGAATTAAGGAAAGTTTAGTAATTTTCCAGTTCCCTTAGGCTTTTAGTATGTGGGCATATATTCATCTTCATAATTAATTTATGCACAGATGTTATAGAAAGCAACAAATGTCGTAGTCAGCCACAAGATTTTTTCTTATTAGTTGGTGCTGTGCCCTCATTTAGACCCACAATTTCATTTTAATTGAGGTTATAGGGGAAGTAGTTCCACATTACCCATTACCAGAAGGACTTTCAATCATCTAACTAATGCTAAATAAGAACAGGAAATCATATGAATTCTCACATACTCCCATCTGTCCTCTTGATACTGGTTGGTATTGGTGTCATTTTAGTGACTCCACAGAGTTAAAAGGATTCATCATTAACCCTTCAGAATCCTTGTAAATCGGTTTGTGAATATGTATATGACTGTTAGGTTTCCAGCACAGAAAAGAACCAAAGAAAAGAAAAAAGGCCTTTACTCCAGACATGGAGAAGAAAGAGCAGCAGGCAATACCAGACTCCTCTGGGGCTAGACAAGGGAGCTGGAGTTTATAAAGACTCTGGCTAGGGGTGGTGCTTAAGGGGCGGGCTTAGTGACGTATCAGGAGCTGATTGGGGGTTTCTTGTGCAGGAAGGGTAAGAGGAAGTTGTACTCTGTGCTGAGGGGAGGAGAAAAGGGAGGGCTGGTCATTGGGAAGAGAAGCTGTTGTTTTTGGGCTTCAACCATGTTAGACCACCACCATAATAATTCAGCAACTCCTACCCATGCAGTAACCTATCAGCTTTTGTAACAAAGTTTGATCTTTACAATTATATGAAAAATTGGGTTTTAAGAAACATCATATTATCAAAATTTTAATAGGAATTTTTAATATAATGAAGTAAACATTCAATATTTCATGAATAATATCTCTTAGTTATTGTGGGCTGATCAGGCCCACAATCTCCAAAATGAGAGGATGGCAAAGGCTTAAATAAATGAGGCAACTGAAATGATTTCAGGGTTCCAGGAGGGTTCAGCCCTATTACAGACTTCAAGGTTCTCTGGGTTGACACTAAGACTTCCCAGAGTGGCCCGTATTTATTAAGTTTTCAGGTAAAGGAGGGGGATACTGAAGAAAATGCAGAAATCTGGGCAGGACTTGGGAAACCCATTAAGAAATTCTGCAAGTAATACTTATGTTAATTTAGAACTATGTTATCTCCAGGAAGGCCTTCACTGCAGGAGTGACATGTCTGCGGCTACAGTCTCCTCTTACCTAATGGGGGTTGGAGCCAAACGTCCTCAGCTGTGACCTTAAATTGTCCTTTGAGGCCTCTTGGCTTCACCCACCATTACAGGCCTCAGTAGGGACCAGTGACTCACAAGTAAACATGGAAAGTCAATTGGTAAATATAAGTCCTGCTCAGAACTGCTTCATAGTGGTCTCCATCAACTCTAGAGTATATAAATTACATGCATAGTTTAAAGGTCTGTTCCCAAATTGGGAAATAGAGCACAGGTAGCATCCCAGAGGCCTAGCAGGTGTGTTTCTTTATCCGTCTTTTTTCTACCCACAGAGGGAATTTTATCTTTTGTCCTGATCTTTTCTTTACTTTTATTTTGCTTTGACTATCTCTATATACTTCATCAAGTATTACTTTTGCCATTTTAACTTTTATAAATGCAGTCATTTATGTATATTCTTTGTGTCTTATTTGCCTCACAATTATGAGAGTTAACTTTACCATGGTGTGAAACTGTACTTCATTAATTTGCAATCCTGCATAGGATTCCTATAAAAATCAAGAAATAAATATTGCTTTAGACACACACACACACATCAAAAAAACTTCACACATCTTCCAACACAAATATGTCCAACTGATTTTTGACAAAGGACCAAAACCAGTTAAATGAAAGAAGCATAGTCTTTCTTAACAGATGTTGAAACAATTGAACATTCACGAGCCTAAAAAAGCAAATTCCTAACCAAAATTTTTAACTAAACTGCATACCATATAGGACAACTAATCAAAACAAGATCATGATTCATGAATTCAAATGTAAAACATAACTATGAAACCTTTAGAAAAATAAATAGAAATAAATACCAGGGACCTGAGGTTAGGTGAAGAGTTCTTAAACATAACACCAAGATCACAATCATTCAAATAAAAAATTATCAAGTTGTATCATTATCAAAACTGTAAATTTTTGCACCATAAAAAATCCTGTGAGGAGGATAAAAAGACAAGCCACAGACAGAATTAAAACACTGACAAAGGACTGGTATCTATAAAATATAAAAACTCTCAAAACTCCATAGCAAACAAAAAACCTCAATTAGAAAGCAGATAAAATACATAAGGATGTCCAGTTAGAAAATAAGTATGCTAAAAGATGTCCAACATCATTAGCCATTAGAGAGACTCCAGTTAAAACTACACTGGGCTATCACCACACACCTATCAGAACATCTGAAATGAAAAAAAGAATAATAATGATAATACTAAATGCTAGTAAAAATGGGAAGAAAATGGATCTCTCAGACATTGCTGATGGAAACAGAAGACAGTACAGCCACTGTTGAAATAGTCTGGCAGCTTCTTATGAAACTAAACGTATACTCAGTATATAACCCAGCAACTGTACTGGCACAAATCCCAGGGAAATAAAAATGTATGTGGGCACCAAAAAAAACTATGCGTGAATGTTCATAATGGTTTATTCATAAGGATCTATGCTGAGGGAAAAACTCAAATACTCTTCAGCTGTCAAGTGGTTAAATTATTGTACATTCAAACACTGGAATACTACCCAGTAATAAAGAGGAATTAACAATTAGTAAATGCAACAACTTGTATCAATCTCAAAGGCTTAGTGAAAAGAGCCAATCTCTAAATATTTATACTCTATGCTTCCACTTTTATAATATTCTCAAAATGACAAAACTAGACATGGAGAACAGATTAGTACTGGCTTCCAGGAGACAGGAATGGGGTGGGAGGGGTGCAAATACTGCAACCGAAGAAGCAACAGGAAGGAGATCCTTGTGATGATAGGACAGCTCTGTATTCAATTGTGAGATGAAATTGCACAGAGCTCCACACAAACACACACACGCATAAGCGAATGTGTACAAAAACTGAAAACTGAAAGAGATCTGTGCATCAGTTAGATTTTCATCACTATGACAAAACACCTGAGAGAAACCGACTGAAAGAAGGACGCTTTATTCTGGCTCATGTTTCAGGAGTTTCAGTCCATGGTCACTTGGCCGGGTTGCATTTGGCCTGAGGCAAGTAGCACATCCCTGCAGAAGTGCGCAACCAAGGGAAGCCGCTCATCTCATGGCCATGGGGAAGCAGCAAGTGAGCTCATTTTTATAACAAACCCCCCTCCCCAAACCCATGAAGCTAAGAATCCATAAATGGGCTCATCTGCTGATGAAGTCAGACCCTTCATGATCCAGTCATCTCCCAAAATCTCTCCCTCAGAACCAAGCCTTCAACATAGGAGCTTTTGGACAATACTTAAGACCCAAAACCTAGCAGTCCACAAACAGTATGGTATCAATGCCTACTCCCTTGTCTAACACTGCACAACAGTTACACAATATGTCACCGAGGGGTAAGCTGGAGAATGCATTCAAAGGGCTCTGTGTATTATACTCACAATGTCAACCTCATAATTATTTCAAAAAAAAAGTTTGAAAAGTGTAAAACTTCCAAAGGTTCCCGATGGTCTCTAGGACACAGCATCTTAGTCTGACACAAAGGAAGGAGTTGATTATTGCCCCCACAGAAGACACTGACCTGAGAGGCTCTTGTGTCTAGGAGAAGAGCAATGGGCCAGTCTTGTGAGTACATGATTATTTTTTATTTTTGAGAGATTATTTTTTCCCTAGCAGAGTGGGCATGATGGAGACAGTCAGGGAGCCCAGGGAGGAGAGATGACCCCCAAGCCTGGACCAGGAAGTCTTATTCCCTTTCCATGCTGAGGATACCAAAGGAGTGTCTTCTAGGACCCAGGACCTCCTTTTAAGGCACAGAAACAATAAGCCCCTCCAAAACTCAGTCACCGCTGCCTCCCTGCCAGGCGCTCCAGCACCAAAGATTTATCAAGTCCAGTCTGAAGGGCTGCATCCGGGCACAGGGCTCTCCTAGGGCGGTGCACCGCAGGGCTCCTGGACAGGCTGACTCTTTCCCCAGCAGTCCTCTGAGGCCTGTTCACCCAGAAGACAGCACCAAGCATGCTCAGAAACAGGGGCAGCTTCAGGAAGACCAGGAGCAGAAAATGGAGACTGCTGAGCAGAGACCTGTGGAGCACATGGGGACAGAAAATGAATTGTCTCCTCAGAGAGGGTCCAAGACCTCACTCCCTATTCCCTGACTCTAGAGCCCAAAAAACGCAGAATCAAACTGGGAAAAGATCCAGGGCAGCCCCTTCCTGTGGCCCCATCACCCCTTCTTCTTCTGACAAAGATTGGCCATGAGAACCTCTTTAAAGAGAGAGATGGAGTGGAGAGAAAGGAGGGCTCCAATAGCCCTAGCATTTAGTAGTGTGCTCCAGAGCCACCCACTCTGTTCTTTCTAGCAACTGTCTTCTTGAAACCATTCTGAAGTCCTTGTCCCTCATTTCCCTCTCCTCAGGCTCCTGCAGAAGCACCGCAGCCCTTTCTGGTTGTCTTTCAGTGAGAAGGGAGAAAAGATCCAAACTCCAGCCTGGAGCCAGCCCCCAAACCTCACAAGCAAGTCCTGCAACAAGATCCCCAGCTGAGTAAAGACCTCTGAAAGGGGCCACAGGATTAGGACCCTGAGTCTAGAATTGGATGGGGAAGGAGAGGAGAGGATTGGGATTGGGGGAAGGGCTGTGCACTCTGGAACCCAGCCTCCAGCCACCAGTCTGCGTCCCTGCAGACCCCCTAGCTCAGCACCATGTGTAGCCTCAGAGAATGTTGAGACCAGAGTTGGAGAAAGAGAAAAAAGAAAAAAACAGCCAACAGTGAGGTTTTCCAGACGTGTTGTGTTACCACCCCTAGTCCTTACCCAGGGTCCCACAGGCTGCAGATTCCCTCCCTCTGTCTCCGAGCCCTGGACCCTCACCGTGGATAGAGGGTTGACACCTCGGTGCGGATGTTCTGCCTGGTGATCACCAGTGGCAAGGCAGGAGTTGTGAGTGGAATCCGGGTGGTAGTTGTTGCTGTTGGAGATAAGGTCACACATCAGCCCACTGCTCTGCCCCCACTGTGTGCTAAGCATCTGCTTGATCTGATAGTGCATGCAATCAGCCTCTCACAGAGGGTTTCAGAGGATCGCTGAAGTCAGACTCAGACCACCTTCTGGGAAGAGCCCCTCAGGGACCAAAGAAGCCTTTAGCATAACTGGCCACCAGTCACCTTCAATAAGCTCCAGGTCTTTCCATCCCAATCTGATGCTGCCTGGGAGAGGGCAAAGGTTTCCCATGGACTCCCTCACCTGACAAGCAGCCCCAGAGAGGGACTGTGGAAGAAGACAGCTCAGCCTATGGATCCAGGATCCTGCCAGAGATCGTGAGAGGGGCACTGAGCACCCTTCAGAAGAGAACTGTTAAGGCTACTTTATTTTTTGTTTGTTTGTTTGTTTGTTTCCAGTACCAGGAATCAAACTCACAACCTCACGCTTGCCAGGCAGGCACTGTGCCGCTGAGCTAAAGCTCCAGCCCCTGTTAAGGCTACTTTAAAGCAATACTGGAGAAGCTGACAGGTTGCTCCTTGGCTTCACCCAAGAACAACAGGTGTCAGACTATTGATGCAACCTGTACCCCTAACTCCAGCCTATGCAGGCTGAAGGATCAGCCACCTCTTCTCCTGCCCACATCCTGGGCTCCTCCCAACACCACTGAGACTGGAGACAAGACTCAGAGGCATGTTTCAGTACAGAACCTCAGTGTTCCCAGCTCATTGCCCTTGCATCAGTCATGTCCCATAAGTTCTGCTGCTGGAGCCATGGGCGTGCTTACCTTGGATAACGTATACCTTCACCTGCTCCAAAGGGTCACGTGACCATGAATCAAAAATCCACGACGTCTGAATTTTACACCAGTAGGTTCCAGCATCATACTGTTGCAGATCCTCTATGGTCACTGTCAGGGTGAGGTCATTTTCATAGTCTCTGATGGACACACGGCCATTCCGCTTTACTGCGTCTCCTCCTTCGGTCTCTACAATACTTTTACATTCTATGTCATACTCTCCCCGGCACCAGTATTTCTTATACCCTTTGTATCCCTCAGCATACTGACACTGCACACGCAGAGTGGTCCCCTCAATGCCAGTCACGTAGCCAGGTCCCGTCAGAGACAAGCAGCCTGGAAAACACAAGATGAGTCCCAGATCTCCATGCAGATGGGCCCATCTCCTGCTTCCTGCCTGAAGCTCAAGGGGAAATCCTCTGGGGAGACGTGACTGCTCCTGGGAGGAGGGCCTGAAGAGACACCCGAGCTTAAGACCTAAGCCAAAAACCTGGAGGCTGTGACCAGGAGGATGAGTAGAAACTTGTCCCCTGTGAGACAGAACACTGACTGACCATACAGGGACCCCAGCCTTAGGGGGTGGAACAATCAGGCTAAATAACGCTGCAGGTGGGAGCAAAGAGGAGCTGCCATCCTGCCCATCCCTAGTCCAGCAGTCTCTGCGGACGTAAGATCTGGTCACACACACACTTCCCTTTGGATTAAGGCCTCTACATTCTGGAATCTTCTGCAACCCCGGCTTGTTCCCTAAAAGACAACCTCTGATTTACTCTACCTTTGTGTGTACTTGAAGGAGGAAAAAGAAACCTCCAGATCTACCCTTACCTCCTTTCCAGGAGGAATCTACAAGTGGGAACAAGGCCTATGTCTGTAGGAGTCCCTGATAGATTTATTTACACAGGGTTGGGCACAAGCTGCTTCCCCATCACAGTCCCCTGGGCTGGGGTGTGAGCTGTCACTGTGCATTCAGAGGAAAAGGGGAAGCTGCCCTCTATAAACAAGGGGGATGATATGCCCCACATGGGGAGAATTAGAAACCAGGAGGCAAAATTGAGGAAACTAACGTGGAAGAAAAGAGAAAAAGAAAGAACAGCAACAAGTGGTGGAAGTCTGTGCAGTTTTGAGATATGATCTCAGCAAAGCTCCACACAGCTTGAGCAAGTGCTCAGAAACTCTGAGATCTTGGTTAGAACTTGAGTGTGTACACGCGCATGCTTGTGGAAGGCCTGTATATGTGTGTGTGCATTTGCGCATCCGTGTGTGAAAGGGTTATGCTTTACACCCGCACTGACGTGAGTCAGCAGGGAGAGGAGACACATACGCTGTGACCATGGAAAATTAGCAGAAATTTAGCAGAATTGGTGGAAGGGCTTTGGGCATTTGCAGAGCATAGAAACGATTGCAATCTTGAGCTGATTCTATTTAGATCTGAAGTATGTTCGGGGTGGAGGAGCCCCTGGCTCTCAGCATTTGCTCATTTCCCTCCCCTCTCTCCACCCTGGATACCTTCCCTCCCATCTGTTCCCAGCTCCATTTCTCTGTCATACACCTTGACTGAGTTGCTGCCTGTGCCCCCGTGCCCACATGTGAGGCGCCACCGTGGCCAGCTTCTTGGCCACCAGCAAAGCTTGGCTGAGAAAAACCTCACTGCTGCTAGGTCTTTTTCACCATCCTGCCCTGTCCCAAACTTGTCAACACCAGTCGACCACACGCTGGGCCCTGCTTGGGGTCTCCTTTGTACTCCCCTCATGACCACCAAGTGGCTCCTGGCCCCACATCTCTAAGCTTGAGAGTCATCTCTAGTGCTGCCCTAATTTATGAGAATCTTCTTCATCATGGATCCTGCACGTCTTGTTTCCAAATCCTTGTTCCACACGTACATTCTTCCCAAAGGTTTGTCTCTCCACTGCAAACCTCCCAAGGTTGGATAACTGGTCCTCACCACCGCCTCCCACCTGCCCCCAACCCAGGCCTGAGGCTCAGCATTCCAGCGTCCCCATGCAAGTCTGGATAGAGCTAAGAACTGTACTTCCTCAGAGTGGGAATTTATCAGGGCGTAAAACACATGATCCAGCCAAGAACTTGAGAGATGGAATCCCAGCCTGCTTGCACAGCTCCTGAGGGGAGTACTGCCTCTCTCTCTCTCTCTCTCTCTCTCTCTCTCTCTCTCTCTCTCTCTCTCTCTCTTTCTGTCTGTCTGTCTCTCTCTCTCTTTTTTCTCTCTCTCTCTGTCTCTCTCTCTCTTTTTTTCTCTCTCTCTCTCTGTCTCTCTCTGTCTCTCTCTGTCTCTCTGTCTCTCTCTGTCTCTCTTTGTCTCTCTCTCTTTCTCTACAGTGAAGGCTACAGGGACCTTTTTATCCCTTCCAGAGACTAGGGCCACTTATTATTGTCTCCCTCTGGGCTGAGCTGCACCCTCCCCATTTGTCTGCTGAGTAAACATCTCTACTTTGGGCTCCTTCTGAGTCACAAACTTTTATTCAAGGAACAACTTTTCAAGCCACTTTAAGTAAATATCAGTCTATTCGCAGGAGCAGAATATCACTTGGATAAGTCAGAAAGTGCTCCATAGAACTCCAAGCCTAATTAAGCTGAAAAGTCACTCTACAGATCAAAGGGTCTCTGCCTACATGACGGCTTATTTTGCTGTTAGGCATCATTCTCATTGAAATGGTACCAGCTTGAATTTATCTTTCTAAAATATGGAAGTCACTGGTAAAGTCTTAAATTTGAGGAGTAGGACATGGAGTATGGATAAAAGCATCAATCTAAAGCTCAGCTCACAAGACCACCTCTAAAGGGAATGTAAACTAAAACCACTTGCAGAGATAAGTATCTGAATAGGCAAGCTTTCAGAAAAAGGTGGAGGTGGCACCTTTAATGAGTGTCTTCTTAAATTGAAGACACTCAGAATTAGAATTTGGCTTAAGGGGTTCTTTCCCCAATTTTCTATCCAGTGCACAAATATGAGGGGAAAATATTCATACAAAGTGTTAACAAATGATACCAAATTACTGGAATTTGAAAGAAGAAATGGGATTGGGCTAAGAAGAAGCAAGTGGATTTAAATTGTTGGTGACCTTGTAATTCTTGGTTTGGCTAGTGAGTTCATGGCTGCTTATTAAATTACATAAAACTAAAGTGAAAGAGGGTCTTGCATGGGCTGAGGATAAACAGACACTATGAGTCATGACCAGTGGGAACCTGATGGTAAGAAAACAGAAAGTTCTGCTAATCCCGAGAGTACTTTCCTCTGTCCCACCAAAGGGTTATCTGGATGCAAGATTAGCTGACCTTAATGAGATCTCGTATAGTCCTGAGAATCCTTGGTAAGATTATGTAAAATGCATATGTGCAATTTTTTTATATGAGTGCTCGCTGGTTTCTTGAAGTTAATGGGAGCTAATGAGCATAGGACAGCAATCAGTTCTGACTGGAGATACCAGAAGAAATAGTAGACAGATCAGCAGGAAGGACCCTGAGTGATGTTGTGGGTTTATATCCTAGACACTCCCACAGCGAGTGGAAAGAATTTAATGCTAAAGATAGAGCTGGGTGTCTTTTTCAGTTCTACTTAGTTACTGTGTCAAAAGCTACTTCTTTCACCATCTCGTCCGTAAAATGCAGACAATGCTATCTTCTCTGTCTAGGTCACAAAGTTGCTCAGAGGGTTAAATTACACCATCAACGTCGTTTTAGATTCCACATCAGCAAAATTGTGTGGTATTTGTCATTCTGTGCTTGGCTTACTTTCCTTCACATAAACTGCTCCAGGTTCACCCACATTGTCGCAAATCAAACGACTGATTTTAGTATTACCGAGTGTATTGGGTTTATCAAAGTATCACATTATGTCCAATAAATATGCACAGTTATGATCTAGTAATCAAAAATAAAATTGTAAAAAGTATTACAAAATTCTGTCATCAACTTGAAAGTGCAAGCTATTAAATTACATAATTACATAAAATGCATAGTCCATAAGAATTCTGCATTTGCTCATTTTATATTAGAACCCACTTCCTTCCTCTTCACCTTTCTCTTCCTTGCTCTGGAATTATCTTTTCTTTTTTTCTAACTCTTTCTCACTCTCCATTCTCAGACTGACAGTATAACTCTCATGGGTCTCCTCCTTAAAAAGCAATCACATTTTTCCAAACAGTGTTTGTAACCTCAGATGGTGTGATGGGAAGAAGGAAACCCTAGGAAAGCAAGAGAGGGGCAATGGGTGTGGTTTAGTGGAAGAGCACGTACCTAGTGTACATGAGACCCTGACTTCAAAACCCAGCATACAGAGAGGGGAGGAAGAAAAAGAGGATTTGGGGTGAAACACAGGAACTGAAATTTAAATCTCTCCTTTTTTTTTTCAGTTTGTTTGTTGTTGTTTTTTTTTGTTTTTTTTTTTTCCCGGTACCAGGAATTGAACTCACGACCTTGTGCTTGCCAGGCAGGCTCTGTGCAGCTGAGCTAAATCCCCAGCCCCTGAAATTTAAAGCTCTAAATGGCTTCAAAATTTTAATCCAGCTCCATGAGAAGAGGAGAACCCAGGAGTTGGAATTAAAAAAGAGAACTGAAATTTAAATCTCTGTAAGTCATTTCAAAATTTTAATTCAACCCCGCGAGATGAGGAATGTCTGTTGCAAATGCCCCTTGGATGAAATGTGAACTTTGGGGTGGAGAGACCAGCCAGCTCCCCATGAACCCATGTCTAGGACTATTTCCTTGATGTTAGTAGCTAGCTACCCCTTCTTTGTGACTGCTTGCTTGGATCATAAACACCGCCTTCCCAAAAGGTTCCCATCTTTGATTTAATTGGGAATTTAGGTAATTTTATGTGGCATAAGCACCCAGATTTAAATAAGCACTGATTTTCTAGTAAACCTGGTATTGGCAAGGGAGAGGTGGAGTCCTCATTTGCTGATTTCTATGCTGTATATACTCTCTCCATGACTGATTTTACATTGCCACTGGATGCAGAGAAAGGGAAGACATACCCATAACTGGCTCTTGTGAACTGGTTTAAGGTGGTTCCAGCCACCTTAGTTACCTATTTAGCTAATTATGATTACTCACAAAATGCCCACTGTAGCCTCTAAACTGTTCATCATCATCACCATCATTGAAGACTGTCTGAGGCTCTCCAATGCATAACAGAATACATCTCTTTCAAATATCTTTCTGAGTCCAAAGATCTAGATTATAAGACCTTATGAGTCCTTGGAGTTCATCTAGCCCACTCATTTTATTGCTAAGAAAACTCTTTTTAGTCAGTGTCATAGAGGGGTCTTCCTCTAAATTTATCTTTTCCACCCACCCATTCTGAAGAATCTTGTAATCACTTCAGGCAGTTTCTATGCTTTATGAGAGAACCTGACCATAAAACTCACCTGCAAACATGAAAACATTTTATTCTAAACTTATGTCACACAGAAAAATGTGTTTTCCTGCATTGTTTTCATTTCAAACATCTTTTTTTGGTAGGAGTAGTGAAACAGGGTCCTGCTCTGTAGTTCAGGCTTGAACTCACTACATAGCCCAGGCTGGCTTTAAACTTGCAGTGATCCTCCTGCCTCAGCCTCCTGAGTGCTGGGATTATAGATGTATGCCACTACACCTAGCTTCAAATGTCTTTTGTAAAGAATTTTCTTTTCTGAAAGTCCAACATTTGAGTACTGTTTTGTTTACTCACACACACACACCTCCTGTCATTCCAGAAGGATTTAAAGTGGATGTAAGGATGGTGATCTAGACTCTTCATGAATTTTCTCACAAACCTTTCCACACTCTTTAAACTAAACTTTGGCAAAACAGAACCATTCTAGTTCTTAAGCTTTCTGTCATCTTTAACACCTCCATAGTTATGTAAACTACTTCTTTTCCACTTGGTCATCATTCATCCCATGAAGCCCAGGTGAACCCCTGCAACCTCCCAAGAGCATAATTAGTATCCCCGTCACACACTCTTATCACCACATCAATGAATTTGTACCATAGCAAAGTCCACACTGTGGTTTAGTTACTTGATTGCCTTATTTAACCTTTAGCTCCTCAAGTGTAGAACTTATGCTTAATTGTAGCACCCTCAACAGTCCCAGCACACAGATAGTGCTTAATAACTATTTGTAGGATCTATGGCTGAATGTTTGAATGTATAGAGGATGTACAAATGGATGGAGGGATGGATGGATGGATGGATGTTTCCTCCCCACTTCTGCTTGTGCCTCACCTCTGACTTGAGCCAAGCCACCTGTTATCCCACCCCTGCAATACCAGGTTCACAAAGCCACAGCCCCACTCACCTGGGAGGCAGAGAAAAAGTAGAGCTGAAGGTAGCCACATGGTCCAGTCTTCCCGGCTGCTGTCCCTAGCAAATCCAGGTCCCAGCTGGAATCCAGATATGGATATCAGAGCCCAGGGCATCCAGCTTCTCCTTGTTCAAATTTCCTTTGTGCTTCTCTCATCTACTTCTCTTTTAATCTCCTAGCTGCTTCCTAATTTAACAAAAGAGGAAGAGTGTCAAGAGACACGTCAGGGACTAAGGTCAAAGAGAGAAATCTACTGAATTTTCTCTCAATTAAAATATAATGTTTGCATGACACTCTGAACCTTCGTAGAAGTCAGACACAGCGCATCAACAAAGGAGACCATTTGGCCTGTGTCTCTCTCATCCCTCTTCTTGTCTAGGACTATTTCCTTGATGTTAGTAGCTAGCTACCCCTTCTTTGTGGCTGCCTGCTTGGGTCATAAATACCTCCACCCCAACAGGTGTGATGAGCACTCCATGAGTCTCACCACTCACCATTCTGTTGGTGATAGACAGTTGTGAGTGAGCAGTGGATATTTGTGAATCAGATAACCTTAGACCTCTTCCACCAACCGAACATCCCAATACCCTTCTTGGGCTCCAGACCCAACTTTCTAACTTCCTCCAATTATATTCTGTGCCTATGATTCTTACTGTATGACTCTTACTCAGAATCAAGGTCATAGTTAAGAGCATAGATCCCAGAGTCGCAGCAACTCAAATCCCATTTCCACCATTTACTAACAATGTGCTCTTGAGATTATTGCTAAGACACTGTGATCTTCAGTGTCTTCATCTGTAAAATGGAGCAAAGTAACAATTCTTATCTCCCAGGGGTGCCAATAAGAAAGTCTAAAATCTGTGTTATAGTAGATTTAGTGAATAAAGACTCAGACTCCAAAGAGAAATGCCCTATAATATGCAAGCCCCCAAATTTTAATACATAACTGAGGGCAAGTTCAGGAAAGGGAACACCCACATGCTAGAATAATACAAGGAACTGAAGAGCATGACATGAACAGGATCTGGCACCAAAAGGCTAGAAGAGACTGGAAGAAGTGACTTTTGGCTTTAGGAGGAAAGGGGCTGGTATCCAAACAGCTACTTGGGACAGAAGCCAGTGCCTCAGGTTTGTGCTAGTCCTGCCAACAGCTCAGGTCCACAGTGGTCACTGCAACCGTGGAACACAGGCATGTGCAATCCCATTGGTGGGTTCATGGGGTGTCAAGGCATCTTGGCTCCCTGGATCCATGAGCCATTAAAGAGTCTCCCAGGGGCTGGGGATTTAGCTCAGTGGGACAGTGCCTGCCTGGCAAGCGTGAGGTCATGAGTTTGATTCCCGGTACCGGAAAAAAAAAAAAAGGCCGGGGATATAGCTCAGTGGCACAAAAGCCTGCCTGGCAAGTGCAAGGTCCTGGGTTCAATCCCCGGTACCAAAAAAAAAACAGTCTCCTATAAGAATACTGCATAGAATTGTGACATCCAAGGTCATTGTTTTCTCTGGATGTAGACTTCTCCTGTTCCTCTTAGCAGCAGCTCTTACCACTCCTCCAGCCACCTCTGAGATTCCCTCTCTAGTGTCTCCATCACCTGCCCCAGATGTGTACTGACCCTGTACCTCAGTACACTCACCCTGGATTCAATGGTACCTCAAAGTCAGCATGACCAAACCTCAGCCTATCCCATGACCTCCCATCCAGCAAAAACCAAACAGCAACCTTCTTCTCTCCCTTCACCAGCGGAGCACCCACAGCCCAAACTTCACTTCCCACTCTTGGCAGCTGTAGAGATGCTGCCCCAAATTTTCCTGAGCTCCGGAAATGCTCTTCTTGGTGGAAAAGAGAAATCAGCAAGGTAAAAGACCACTCTTATTATCTTCAAGTTTACCCCAGATATAATCCAAAAAGTTGTAGAGCGTGGAAAAGGGGAGCAATTCAAAAAGAAAGGGGGTAGCTGAGAGATGCATTTGATGTATATAGAAAACTATTCCTGCATTAGCCAATTTATAGAGACTTAGAGTATGTTTCTACCAATAGTGGGACAAGTGGCCCATTTTCAAGAACAGAAGCAGGAGAAACTTGCTCCTCAGGAGCTGCATGTCTGCAGGAAAGAGGCTGCTGCTGTCCCAGGTGAGCTGAAGGCTGTGGCTGAGGAGGAGAGGAGAGTCAGGTGGGCCTCCATGAGGGAAGGGAGCCTAGATGTCCAAGGAAGAGAAGAAATGGCAGAGTTGGAGATAAAGACTGGGTCTAGGGAAGCCCCAGGCCCCTCTCGGTCCTGAGGACTCAGTGTTCGCATCCTCCCAGCAGAGAAGATAACCCAACCTGTTTCTGTCCAAAATATAAAATTTCCTCATATCCTGTATCTAACCAAGGACAGGGCCTGGAGCCACCTGACCAGCGCCTTTAGAACAGGATGGCCACTAGGCCAGGCCTGAGTCCAGCACAGGGCTCAGGCCCCATGGCTGCTCCTGCTGCCCCTCTCCTCAGGGATTCATCTCAAACTCACCAGCTCTGCCCACCTCCAGCCACAGGGCTTGGGGTCCAGAGTTTGTGCTCAACCAGCCCAAAGAGGCCACAGCTCTAAGCGCGGGCCATTGACCTTGGTTCCACTATCATCCTCAAGACAGAGTGAGCAGTGGCCTATTTTCTGATTTATTCAGTCACTCAATAAATACCTATTAGGTGCCTACTGTGTGCCAGACTATCAGGAAATCGGGGAATATGAGAACAAACCAGGAAGAAAAGTCCTTGATCTCATAGACCCTGAGTTTTAGCAAAAGAATTGACAGCATATTGACAGCTAATAGCTGCACAGCACTTATTAAGGGCCATTATCATCGTTAAGAGTTAATCTCAGCTTCTTTCAGGTCATCTTTCAAACATCCCTGTGAGGTAAAATTTCTGTTATCCCGTGTAAAGACAAGGAGACTGAGGTGCACAGAGGACAACATGTGGAAGGCCTTACAGCTGGTTGGCGATGGAACTGGAACTTGAGGATCCAGACGGCCTGGATCCAGAATCTGCTCCCTCATCTCCCATTTATACAGCTGCTTGTAGTAAACAAATGCAGAAAAAGGACATATACAGATCATGAAGGTTGCTCTGAAAGCATTAGACAGCAATATGCCTAAGGGTTACCAGGAAAAGCTCAGAAGAAGTAAGGTTCAGGCTGAGACCCAAAGGACGAGACTGTGCTACCCTCTGAAGCACTGAAGCAGTGGTCTCAGTCAAGGAAATAGTTTCTGTCTGGTGATACCTGGCAACATCCTGAGACATTTTTAGCTGTTACAACTGAGTAGGGTGCTTGTGGCATCTAGTGGGTGGAGGGCCACGATGCTACTACACTCTCTACAGCACGCAGGATAGCCCCTACAACAAAGGCCAACCCAGCCCCAAACAGTGCCAACGCAGGGAAACCCTGAGTTAAAGGAAAAGTGCTCCAGGCAGGGCACTAGCACGGGCACCGTACCAGGATGGTGAAGCATTTGGTGTGTTCTGGAGACAGGGGAGAACCCAATGAGCCTGCAGGTAGGTCAGCCAAGGGGAGAGGGCCAGAAGGTGCTGAAAGGGGCCTCAGGAGGTTCAGGAAGGGGTCTGAATTAAAAGAGAAGCACTGAAACTTTTCAGGCAGTGTGTGTTCTGGTTTACAGAGGAAAATAATCACTCACTGGGCAAAGGGCAGATCAGACTTGGGATGGGAAGCAGGCAGATGAGTCCAGAGGTTCTACAGTCATCCAGCGTCATGGTGGGGGGACATGAATGGTGGCAAAGATCTGCCAAGATGTGCAGATCTTGGTGTTTTTGGAAGCAGAACCAGCAAGGTTCTTCAGAGGGTGAGAGGCAGATCTGCTGGTAAATCTGTCGCTGTCATTGGCAGACCCTAGGATATCAGAGAGGTGCTCAAAACACTTGAAAATCAAGAACAGAGACAGTTACATAAAATTAAGACCATTTGGGTGTAGAAAAAAGACAAACAATGAAATTGGGAAAAGTAAACTAAATGCCCAAAAAAAGTCTGTAGTGGTGGGCCAGACTGGCAACTTGGTAATTAAGCAAGATCCCACCCAAAACAAAAAAATAAAGTGGGGGCTGGAGATGTAGCTCAGTGTGAAGGCCTGGATTCAATCCCCAGGACAAAAAGAAGAAAGCCAAAAATAGAAAGAGCCTATACAAATCAAAGTGAAACATACTAAAACCCTGGAGGAAAAATTGGCAGACTGTGAAAGCACAATTCTCCAAAGAAGACATACAAAGGGCTAATATTGGAAGGAAAAAAGTTTAACCCCACAGATAATCAAACACTTAGGTATATCAACACAACAAAATTATCAGTTTTCCCAAATGAGCTATGATTTTTTAAGGTAATTCTCATAGAGGCAGGCTACTTAGCAGTGAGTGTGAAGAACTCTTAAACTGTCCTTTCTTTTGGCCCAGAGATTCCTCTTTTCATTACCTAGTCTAAGAAAAAATTGAAAATGTGCATACATTACTGGAAAACTTGAAAGATCCTAATTATCCAATAGTACAATATCCAATTTGTGTAGTACTGCAGGTGGGTGTGTAGACAGATGAGAGATAAAGGAAGGAAGAGGAGAAAAAAGGGTGGGGAAGGAGGAAGGGAGAGAGAGAGCATCCAAGCATTTGGATCTAAGAAGGAACAGGCAAATGATTAACTTGCTAACAAATTCTTTTATTACAAGCACAGAATATAACCTGTTCGCAACAGCAAACTGGCAGTACTTCAAATGCTTATCAATGATAAAATACATGCACTGTGGTATATTCACGCAATGACATCTATTCATCACGTTCAGCAATGCAAATGGATAGATTACAGCTGAAACATGCTGAATCTCAGGGACAACACTAAGAAGCAAATCTATAAGACAGTACCTAGAGTAGGATATCATTTATACAAAGTCCCAAAACAGCCATTACTAAACTATAATACTTAGGGATGTATATCAAGAAAAAGCTCTAAAACAGATGAAATTAATATACAGGTGATAGAAATCAGGTCAGTGGTTGCCTAGAGAGGGGAATTGTCTATAAAGAAGCAGACGGATACTTTCGGAGGTAATTAGAAATATCCTATGTCTTGATTGCAGTATTGTACACACAGGTATTCTCAAAAGCTCATTGAATTATACATACAAAGTGGGTGCATCTCATGTATAGTGCAGAATAC